TGTTACCTTCCCACCGAAGTGGTACCTATTTATCTACTTGCAATTTCTTGCTTTCGAACTGCTAGGTTGGCAGGAGCTGGAACTAGAGACGGGAGCTCACTCCGTCATGCGGCACACTCGGGTCTTGAACTGCTGAACTACTGACCTTCCACAGCCTGCAGTTCAGCGTAGAAGTGGTCCCTATTTATCTACTTGCAATTTCTTGCTTTCGAACTGCTAGGTTGGCAGGAGCTGGAACTAGAGACGGGAGCTCACTCCGTCATGCGGCACACTCGGGTCTTGAACTGCTGAACTACTGACCTTCCACAGCCTGCAGTTCAGCGTCTTAACCACTTGAGCCACCGCAGCTACAAAATTTGTGGCAGAGTATAAGCTTTGGTGAGTCACTGCTCACTTCTTCATGCCCTGCCACAAATCTTGTGAGTCTTTAAGGTGCTACTGGACTCTTGTTCTTTTCTACTGCTACAGACAGACTAACGTGGCTGCCCATCTTGATCTATCTCCTTGCTCCGGTCTTGCAAACTGAGGGTTGTGGCTTCCTCGATTGAGTCAATCTATCTCATGCTGAGGCTTCCTCTTCTCCTGCTGCCTTCAACTTCCCCTAGCATGACTTGCCTTTTCCAGTGACTCTTGTCTTCTCATAACATAACCCAAAGTACAATACCCTCAGTTTAGTCATTTTTGCTTGTACGGAGAGTCCAGGCTTGATTTGATCTAGAACCCACGGATTTGTCTTTTTTCTATCAAATTCTCCCCCAACACCACATTTCAAATTAGTCAACTTCCTTCCTATCAGCTTTCTTCATTGTCCAACTTTCACACCCATACATAGTAACGGGGAACACCGTGGCATGAATTAACTTGATCCTGTGCAGTATAGGGGGTGCAAAGGTATAGGGTCTCAGGATCTACAGTTATAGGGTCTCAGTTTTCAGTACTAGAAAGTACCTCTAACTGCGATCCTAGAGGGCTGTGCCACAGAGACTTCCTTGTGCCATAATAGACCACGACACTTCTGTCTCTTAAGACGGAAAGAGACAGTTCAGTTTCTTGCAGCTGCTCCCAGCCACCTGCTATGGCCAATAGGTCTCCAGGTGTTCATAAAAATGAATTAAATTGTGGAATTCTCTTTTAAAGGGGGTTGGACAGATTCATAGCGGAGAGGTCCATCAGTGGCAACGAGCCACGGTGTCTGAAGGGAACCTCCAGAGCCAGAGGCAGCAGCCTTCTGAAGCCCATTGCTAGGAGGCAGCACGAGGGGAAGGCCTTGACCTCTGTGCCCTGCTTGTTGGCTTTGATTTGATAGGATTTGTTTATATCCCACCTTTGTGCTCAAAAAGAACACCTAAGGTAGCTAACAGACATAAAGTATCCTAATAAACAACCAAATTCAAACAACCAGAAATTAACCAAACAGTACCAGGTTTCAGGAGGAAAAATGGCACAGTATTGTCTGATCTCGTCAATTCTTAGGTCGGTACTTGGGTGGGAGACCACCAGGCCCGTAGCCAGGATTTTGTGGCTTGTGGAGGAAATCTTTTTCCTGGTGGGGCTGAAGTGTTCAGTGCAGAAAGAAAAGCCATTTAGCCAATAGGAAGCTGTTACCAGGACAGATCTCTAAATTGCAAGCTGTGTCAACCACTTTCGATGACAGTTCTCAGCTGCTGCAAGTTAATCACTTCTGCCAGCCTAAGCAACAATTCTGATAACCAGCCAGCAGGTGGGGGCGATGGCTTCTATAGTCCAGAAAGCTAACACTTAGGCAGAACAACTCTCTTAAAGGAGACCAGTTTCTTGACACAGAGTTAGAAGGGACCCTAGAGGTCACCTACTCCCAACCCCCTTGCTCAGTGCGGGAATTAGTCAACCACAGCACCCCACTCTGCTTAAAGGAGTGCATACCTTTAAAAATGTTTTTAAATGATTGAAAAAAGCATTTACAGGTGAAACTCTTCTGGGGCTGTGCCTTTAAGAAAGGGGGCAGAGCCCCCCAAAAGCCCCACCATAGCTACGGGCCTGCAGACCGCCAAGGAAGATTCTGCAGAGGAAGGCAATTGCAAACCACATCTGCTTCTCACTTGCCTTGAAAGTCCCTTGCTGGGGTCACCATAAGTGAGTTACAACCTTAACCTACGTACGTACCAGGTTTCAAGACCTTTTAACAATAAGCAGCTAAAGGGCAGGACTGAGCAGATAGGAAAGCCCAGCCCTGGGGCAGGCACATTCTCCCCAGGCAGAAGGCAACTTCAGGTTGAAGCCCCTTCTTGAGCAGTCAGGGAGTGGGGCTGAGATCTCCTGGTTAGAAGAAGAAGAGATTGGATTTATACCCTGCCCTTCACTCAGAGTCTCAGAGTGGCTTACGATCTCCTTCCCTTCCCCTCCCATCCCCAGAACAGACACCCTGTGATGTAGGTGGGGCTGAGAGAGCTCTTTCCAGAACTGCCCTTTCAAGGACAGCTCTTGTCAGAACTATGGCTTGCCCAAGGTCATCCAGCAGCTGCAAGTGGAGGGGTTTTCCCAGATTAGAGTCTGCACACTTAACCACTACACCAAACTGGCTCTTGGGAGGCTGTACTAGATGGATCTCTGGTTTGATCTAGCAGGGTTCTTCTTATGTTTTTACGGTTTTGCACAGAGGTAGGGAGTCAGAGTATAAGGCAGAGCTGTATGTCGGTTACCGGGTCACAGAATATCTCCAAAATAATCTATGGAGATTTTCAATCCCAACATAATATTTTCTTTCTCTGTTCTTAGGAAACATTGCTCAAACAGCCCAGGATTGGCCAACTCCTAAGAGGCCCCAAGGGACGCCTATGTCCCACCCTTTTGTGTTGAATGCCAGTTCTGGGCATGAATCAGAAATCAACACATTCTCCCTCGTACCACTAGCTCCTTTGGTATCTAAGCTCCGGTTATGTTGTCTGCCCGACGTTAATTGGAATGCAGTTTCTCCCCATCTGGTATAAATTAGAGAGGCAACAAAAATGAAAGGAAAAGGCTAAAAATAGCTACAGATTCATAAGGGGGAGAAAAGGGACTTTGTCTTTTGATCAAGAGAGAAAACCAGCGTCTCACCACTGTGCCCTTTTACACAACTCATGCCATTCCCCGAAGAGAGTCGGGTGTCACCATCTGTACGAGAGTCAAAAATGTTCCTCCCTTTCTTAGTTCTTAAGGCACCACAACACTCTCTGAGCTCTTTTGTTGAAACAGACTGACACGTGGCCCATCTGTCTGGGAGGCTGTCTCGTCCCAGTGAAGGAATTCCGAAAGGTTAAGAACCGGAAGGTTCTGTGGCTCCTCCCAATGGGGAGGGGCATCTGGGGGCAGCACCCCTTTTGTGCCTCCACAGGAAAGCTGTCCTCTGCTGCCCCTGGGACAGTCACCTGACAGGAAGTGGAAGACTGCCCCAGAGTCCTCTGCCATGCTGCCTTTGGGGTAATCTCTCGTTTCCTGGATGAAGGAACTCCATAGGGGTTGAAGCTATGGTCCGTACACCTGAGCCATTATTGTCAGTAGGAAGGGAGCCATGATGGGGCAGGCACTATGAAGGGCCTGTGATGGGAGGAGGCCCAAGGGTCCACAAACCCCCCCACCCCCGGTTTGCAATCTAGAACTGAAGTTTTTCCGTGTCCCTCTCATATTTTAGGTGGATCGCCTGCCATGAGCATCAGCGCCAGCATGTGCTTTTCCAGCCCCGTTTCAACGCCCAGCATCTCGCAGCAGGCTTCTACTCTTCTAGTCGCCGCTCACGGAGCCAGGATCCCTTCTCATCCGGCCGCTCGCCACATGGGCTGCTACGGGAACATTCCTTGCAGTCAACCGAGCGTGTACACCGTGACAACGTCCGGAGTGAGCCAGGTCCCACAGCACAGGAACCCAAACCAAATAATTCCCGGTCCAAACAGTTCTGCGGCGACTCGGCAAGCACTGCCAGGGCAAGGAAATAACCTGTCGGCATTTGAGAGTGGCTCTGGAATTAGTTCCCAGCAAGGGAAACTCGGATTTAACCCAGGGACCTCTGGGCAAAGACCTTTGAACGTGATGGTCACCACTAGTTCTGCCGTTCAGAACTGGGTCTCTCAAGAAACAGGGGGGAAGCCGCAGGACACGCAGAAGGGAGTGGGATCCCCTTTCCCCACAGGTAGCCCCTATCCAAACCAGCCGCTCCAGCGTGCCGTCACCCACCAGCAGTTTCCGCAGCGTGCCGCAGTGCCTCCTAACCCCTTAGGTGCCGTCCAGATGAGAACACCAGTGAACCATAGTTTAAATGGGCAGATGGTGGGGTCTCAGAAAGCCCTGAGCACAAGATCTACCCAGGTACGGGCGCAGGCCATGCCGCACTTAAATCCGCCCAGGGCAAGCGTGACACCCCCAAACCCTTTGCTGTCTAACCATTTCCCGACTAGTACCAACCAAACCACAGCCAGAGCTTTCCAAGGAAGCGACCCTGCAAACGATCTGGCATTTGACTTTCTCAACCAGCAAGGTGACAACATTGGGCCGGCGCTCAACAGTGACTCAGACTTCATTGATTCCTTGTTGAAAACAGAGCCAGGAAATGACGACTGGATGAAAGACATCAACTTGGATGAAATCTTAGGCGGTCATTCGTGAGCCAGAGGAGTGGACAATGATAAACTCCTATATTTCCCCCCCTAGAGATTCAAACGTCTTAAGTTTCACTGATTTTGTAGAGAAGCATTAAAAAAAATGGACTCTCCAAATGGTTGAGGGGGGCTCCTTGGGAGTGTGTGGTTTACAGTGAAGAACCAAATACAAGAGAACTAAGCACGTAACCTGCTTTCTGAATCCGAAACGTGTAGGCTCTTACATGCATCTATAAAGTGGAGCAAAAATTCAGGAGTGCAGAAATATACCTTCTATTCTACTAATAGATGTAGCTCTGTATTATTATTATGTTATTTTGTTGTTATTATTATTATTATTGCAAATGAAAATATTGAAGAGTGAAAAAGGCAACCTGAACCACATACAGCCTAAGAATTTCACACTTCTTAGGAACAGTCAGCAGGTATTGGAGAATCCAACACGTCTTCACCGTGCCCTTCATGAAGTGACGTTTTTGCCTGCCCCAGGTCTTTCCCACATCCTCATTTTCCTCTCTTGTAAGTTCCTGTTTCTTCGGGGTAGGGAGTTTTCTGTCCTCCTGCATGTATTTTTGCTCCCTCTAGTGGCCGATTTGGTATTACACCGGTTTATGTCCAGCAAAAAACCTGCAGTTTAAATCTGCAGGGAGATGTGCTGGACATAAACCAATGTAATATTGAATCGACCACTAGAGGGAGAAAAACATGTGTGGGACAGAACCACCCCCCGCCCCACCCCCTGAAGGAACAGGAATTTACAAGCCAGGAAAACGAGGATGCGAAAAAGCCCCCGAATCTCTCACTAGCCGTTTCCCTTAGAGGAGCTAGACCAAATTCATGAGGGACCAGAGGCTTTCTTCCCAGGATCTTGAGTTAATATATTAAAAAAATCAGTCTCCTGCTCCTGATTACCTCAGTAGGTCGCCCATCTTCAAAACATCCCATCCTATCCATGGCCTTCCTTCCCATCCTAACCCTAGGGCCCTTATCAACATTGTGAGAATACAAGAAGAGCCCTGCAGGATTAGACCAGAGATCTGTCAAGGCCAGCATCCTGTTTCCCACAGTGACCAACCGCTTATCCTGGAGGGCCAGAAAACAGGACATAGAGGCTGAGGCTCTCTCATTGTGTTGTCTCTTAGCACTGCCGCCCCAAGGTTATCAGCCTCTGTTATGTGGAAGTCCATTTAGGTCACTACCAGTGCAATCCTAAGCAGTGTTCCCTCTAAGCTGAGTTAGTGCGTGCTAGCTCACAATTTTTTAACCTCCAGCTCACACATTTTTGTCTTAGGTCAGGAAGGATGGCTCCAGAGCAAACTAATTTATGCAGTAGCCGAATCGCTCACTCACAACTTTAATGCCGATAGATCACAAAGTAGAATTCAGGCTTAGAGGGAACATTGATCCTAAGTAGGGTTCAGACTCCAGTCTGAGCTCATTGATTTCAGTAAGCTTAGACTGTAGTAACTCTGCTTGGGATAGCTAGATATTCAAGTCCAGTAGCCATCTTAGAAGCCAGTAAGTATTTTGGGGTATAAGCTTATACCCTGGGGACCTTGTTGGCCTCTTAAAGTGCTAATGGGCTCGAATGTAGCTGTTCTACCACAGACCAACATGGCTACCCACTTGAGACTCTCTGCTGAGGATTGCACTGTATGGCTTAGTAGCCACAGAAGGAACTCTCCTCCATGTGTTTTCTCCTACCTTCACCCTTGTCCCAGTCAGTCAAGGCTCAGGGAAGGTCTTGTGCTTTCGGTCGTTGTCGATGTCGCCTCAGGGGCGTGAGGCAAAGCAAGCCGGCGGGAAGAGGCACGCTGTGGAGTGGGTGCCCAGAAAGCCATGCTGGGGGTGGGCGGGCGGTGGCGGCAGGGGCCTCGCTGTGCCCCTTGGAGATCTGCGCCCTAAGCCTTCGCCCTAGTTGGCCTAGTGGAAGAGCCGGCCCTGCGCCCTGCATCAGAATTCCAAAGGTGCCCCTGGGCTCAGAAAGGTTAGGGACTCCTGCTCTAACTGCCCGTCTATCGGGAAGGGCGAGGGGGGACCATGCTACACAGGGACTTCTTGTTCTGAGAGATGTGAAGTAGCCGATGCAGGCAACAGGGCAGCTTAGTTTTTCATGCCACCCTTTGATGGAGCCCTAGTGTTGCCCAACACAATTTGCACAGTTTGCAGATCCCTATATTATGTAGACACGAGGTATTTTTTTTAAGCAAAGCAAAGTCCTTTCTCTAAAAGGGATAAAATCCTGCTAAAAAAACTGCTTGGGTGCAATTCTGGCAACTCCTGTGCATGTGCTGCTCAAATGGACCAGCGTTTGGACTTCCCTATCTGCTATTCATTTTGAAGCAGGTTGTGCAAAGAAAATTACCAGTGGGTTGCATGGACCAAAATATGGAAAAGGTGGTTTTTGTTTTGTTTTGTTTTGTTTTTAAATGCAAAACTGCAACGCGTGAATATCTATCATTGTTGGGTCATTACAGTAAAATGCACTCCCCCTTATATTTTGCATTATTGAGTCAGGAGCTCTTCTCAGTATTGGGTTGTAAATATAATAGAAAAGGTTTGTCTTTTGTAAACTTTTGTACAAACAAACAAAAATGTAATATTTTGGTAGAAATCCTGAGATCATATTCTTTGGGTTATATTTATACACATGTGAAATAAAAATGTACTGTCCAAACTTTGTATTTTGTACCACAAAGGAAAAAAAATGCTTACCTTTTGTATCTTAATATGCAATTTTGTTTGTATAATATGATGGTTTTATTTTCATCCTGAGACTTTAAGTTTTGCTTTACAGGGAGGCAGAACAGACTCAAATAAAAACTGAAGATCTGAGCTTTGAGCTTTCTATTGAAATCATAAACGCTGCTTCTACAAATTACTTTAGGGCTAGGCAAGTGAAGGGTTTTTGTGAAACTGACTGGCATTCTCATAAATTCAAGGCCCCAATGAGTTCCTCCCAAAGGCCTGCAAAGGGTTTCTTTCCTTTGTTTAAACCAAGCTTGGTTGCCCAGTGTGGTGAAACGGGCTCCAGTTTACAACTCAGCTGTTCGCCTCCCACCCTTGTCCCATGGGCGTATCTCACTCAAGTTTGCTGCTGCCATTCACTGAATTATCACTGCCTTTTTAGAGGGACACTGAGACCCCTATGGGTGAATCTCCCTATTTGGAGATGGTATCCCCAATCTTTGGGGGATCCCTGGAAAGTTGGCAACCCAAGGGTCTGTCCTTGGGCTACCCCCTCCCTGTTATTGTGCAGAGTGGGGGAGACTACATGGTCAGAGCACAACACAGATTATTAGCCCAAATAAAATAATTTATTTAACTATTTACACAGTTATGGAGCGCATACACCCATTAAATGAATAAGACACAGCTGTAGGAGTAAGCACACACTATGAACCAACAGGGCATAAATCAATAGGGGTTAAACACCATCCTCTTGCCCTACGCACCAGCCTCTGGCTGTCTGCTCTAGCATCTCTCTCCCTGGCCCAAGAGAGCAGGGAAACTTCCATTCATTCCCCAGTCCAGCCGACTGTGGAATGGCTGAATTTCTGCTGCCTCCCAGGGTTCCCCCACGTCTCTGGTTTGTGGCCTGGACAGTCTGGTCAGCACAGGCAGCAGGAGTCTTTCCTAACCTCCTGTAGGACAAAGACTGAGACAGTCCCTGTTTTCTCGCCCTTTTCTGCCTTGGGGCAGCTGGGAACTGTAGTCCAGCAGATGAGGAAGCCCCATTCAACCCAGTGTCCCTACAAGCCCCTCTCTGGAACTACAGCTCAATTAAACCTTATGGCGGAACATTTTAAACAGACGATCACAGACAGCAGCCATCTTACAAACACAGGTAACTGCCATTTCGTTACACCTACCAACAGCCACTGAGGGAAAAGTTACTCCCACACAGGAGGCAAGCAGGAGAAGTGTCTTCATCAAGACAGAAAGCCATTTGCCAGGAATTCTGTCAGGGCAGAGTGGCTGAAGGAGGAGTGGGCGGGGAAGAGGGCAGACCCAGCACCTGGCCAATGGCACATGAGTACTCTAGAGTGGTGGCTGACGGGCCAGTGGCTGAGGGCAAGCATGGAATGTGGCCACCCCAAAATATATAATATAGAGAGATATCTATTTAGACAGTTGTCATCTTCAGTGTCTTAATTATTCACAGGTCTTGTCACAGTTGTTTTTTATTGCTGTGAGATCTCTTGGCTTCTCAGCCCCACCTACCTCACAGGCAGTGTTCCCGCTAAGGTGAGTTCGTGTGAGCTAGCTCACAGTTTTTTAGCCTCCAGCTCACAGATTTTTGTCTTTGCTCAGGAAGGAAGGCTCCAGAGCAAACTAATTTACTCAGTAACCAAATCGCTTGCTCACAACTTGAATGCCAGGAGCTCACAAAGTAGCATTTTTGCTCACAAGTCTCCACAGCTTAGAGGGAACATTGCTCACAGGGTGTCTGATGCGGGGAGGGGAAGGGAAAGGAGATTGTAAGCTGCTCTGAGACTCCTTCGGGTAGTGAAGGGCAGGGTATAAATCCAATCTCTTCTTCAACGGCTCTTTTTCTGGAGACTTGACTATTCAGAGTATTGGAAGCGGTCAGCCATGATGTAGTCACCTATAAATTTAAGCAGATGGTGAAAAGGTGGGCAGGAAAGGATGAGCCACTGTTTGGGTCTTGTGGCCCTTTCTTAAATGTTTTATTTCAGGCCAGATTGGCCCAGGGATCCTGGAGATTTTTTGCCTTCCTCTAGGCATAGAGCAGGTAGCAGTGAATTTCCTGCATTGTGCAGGGGGTTGGCCAAGATGACCCTTGAGATGCCTTCCAGTTTGAGGTTTCTATGATACATACACTCATTCCACTCACATCTGGCATAAATGGGTGCTGCAGGTTTTTGTGTTGACCGAAAGACCTGCAAAACCTTGTTTGTCCAGGGCCAACAGCAGGGCAAAAGAGAGGTATGTATGTATCTTGAACAGCACTGTGGGAGGTTTTTTCTCAAGCCACTTTTGACTGTGTTAAAAACCATCATCTGTCTTCAACCTTAA